CAACACTGAAAAAGGATTACAATTGCGTATGTATGTGTGATTGAGCAAATGGATATATATCTGTGCCTGGTCTCACATTGTTTATATATGTGTATGCTTGTATGAATTAAAATGCGTATACCTGTACATAATGTATGTATGTATGTATGTATGTATGTCTGCGTACATATGCGTGTCATCCCAAAATGGGCACAGAGGAGAATTCTTTCTCCCTTCACTGCCACCAAACAAAATCAAATGCAAACTAACATAAACAGATTCAAATTTTAAAAAATAAATCAGTTTGTCTGATGATTGCAAAAGTGTGAAACCCAGGTTTACAAACTCATATCCATACAACTAATATATATATATATATATATATATATATATCTCACATTACATTGCATCTAGACATATGGTTTTGTTATTAATATTTTGTTCTCTCACGCGGTACAACATCAAAGAACTGCATTATGAATTTACAACCTGCATTTGCTATTCTGTGACTGTTATCGTCGCATAGCAATCTTCTATATCAACATAACAGAATCTCATCTTTGATGGTGACATTGTTTAAATGTCCATATAACCACTCTGAAGATGGCTCACATGAGTTGAAAGCTTAGATCAAGAAACAGCATAATAAAAAAAATATCCAAATGTTGGACAATTTTTGTCTTTATTTTCTCTTGAAATTAAAGCAACTATATGAAGTTTACAACATCTCATCATCAAACATAATAGACGTTCATTGTCTGTTATATTTAACAATATATGTTTGAATATACATATATATATGTTTTATAGTATATGACCTGATTTTTCTACAAAAAAATGAATAAAAATATCTCCTTTTATCTTATAAGTGGAGTTGAGATATTTGGTTTATCCAGACACCATTGACTATCCGTACTTATACTGAGCCTAACTCCATAACACTGTAATATTAAATGTAAATAGGAATGTCTTATATTTAGTCAAATATAAGGACCTTAGCCATTGGCAATTATTTTATAGACAGGGGGAGAGATACAAGTTCTTTACTTCTGTCCCTTCTACCATGTCTCAGCATGAACACCATGAGAAAGAGAAAATTCATAGACAAACCTTCAGACATATTGAAGTCATAAGTTCAGTCATTTTTAATTGTCTTTTTTTTTTCACCAGTTTTCCCTTCCTTATTGGCTAAGCAATAAAATGTCAGACAATGTGAATTTTTTTATTTGTTGGGAACAATACAGTCCAAGCAAGATGATAATGCCACTAAGACACCAAAAAAGAATGAAAGACAGGCCTAACCCAATCCTGGAGCAAAAAAGAGAATGAGAAAAAATCTTTAAGAAACAACTGATAAACCCAATCCTAAACAGGAAACAAATATATAAATCTCTACCCCTATTCAAAAAAATATATATATAAGAGATATATATATATATATATATAATATATATAAATATTTTATATTAAATATATATATATATATATATATATATATATATATATATATATATATATATATATATATATATATATATATATATATATATATATATATATATATATATATATATATATATATATATATATATATATATATATATATATATATATATATATATATATATATATATATATATATATATATATATATATATATATATATATATATATATATATATATATATATATATATATATATATATATATATATATATATATATATATATATATAATATATATATATATATATATATATATATATATATATAATGTATATATATATATATATATATAATATATAAGAAAATACTAAAAAAATCACTTAATGCCATATTTAAGGACAGAGCCTTAGTATTTCCAGTGGAGAGTGACCAAGTTTCATGCATTCATCAGGTAAACAGCAACTATTATTTGGGAAAATGGTTATTTTATACCCACTCAGCAAGTTAAAGATGGAATGAGAGTTATTGATATGTATATACTATGCACACAGCAAGCAAACACACTGATGGAGGAAACAAGAAAACAAGAAATACCAAAAAATTACCATTAATTGTGGGGAAAACCCAAGCACCAAAAAAAAAAAAAATCAGAAGCATGTCTCTCTCTCTCTCTCTCTATATATATATATATATATATATATATATATATATATATGTATACAAGCATAGTAGGTTGAATAATCTAGACATATTATGTCTATTTTTATTTTAATCTTCTCAAATTCACTGATCAATTTCTTAGTGCTGTTATTAAACTGATTAAGAAAGACACTGTAGTTTTGGTTATTTCTTTTATTTCCCCAAGTACTTTCAATCTCATCCAAGATCATTTTCTGGGGTGATTTTCTAAGACAAAAATTAATGTAATTGATAGTTGTGAATTTTTTTGTGAATGCACATGAAACACACTGCATTATAGTTAATTTAAAAATTAACTCTTAAGAATATGTAAGAGAGTTAACTTAATATATATTTTTTTATTATTAATATTTTAACATACTCAACCTGCAATTTAAAGAAAAAAGTTTTTACAATTTGAGCATCCTAAAATATGCTGTTACAGAAATTTTAAATTATTGTTGCTATACTCATAATTAATTTTATTTAATGTTGGTTGGATTTTTTTTATATAGAGCACTTCAAGAATTTGAAGTTTTTGATTTTATTTTCATGGTGGAGTATACTTGTATTGCCAGTTAATATTTCCCTAAAATGTGAATGTGGACAGGAATGTTCTTTTAAATGTTGTGAAATAGAACTTGAATCTGACATGTGTGAGTCTCCTCAATAATGTTGTCATTGTGTTATCAACATATATATTTACTTTTTTTGTCAGAGAGACAATCTCCTAAAGGACATTTAAATTGATATACAATGTTGGTCTTATGTAAAAAATTAGATGGAAAAGAGTTATTGTGAATGATTAAGTTGGTTGTATTAAATTTAGTTTAGCATATAATTAGTTTTATTTTTTTTGCTGGTATCAGTGGGTAGGGGATATATTAGTACTTATGAGATTTTTTTTAGGATTTTTTCATCTTGTTTGTAGTTAGTGTATTTGATTGCGGTATAGTAAGTTGATATGTTTAGGGTTATTTGATGAAGTATTATGTTCTTTTTGGTTTATGTTGATATTTCTAATAGCCAAACTAATTTCTTTATCAACATTGTAATTAGGAAGGTCATTATTAATGAGATTTTGTTTAATGTTTTTTAATTCTGTCTAGAAAATTTTTTTGTGGAAGAATTAACTTTTACATAGTTTATTAAATTTTGTATAATTGCTGTTTCATAATAATTAGGACATTCACTTTTATACTTGAGTGCATGTGTTTATGCTTGTTTGTTTTTTATATGGGGAGGTAGTGAATGTATTATTATTGGTGTCTATCATTATATAAAGAAAAAGAATTTTTGTTGTTATTATTAAGATCATATGTGAACTTAAGAATGCAGTTTTTTTGCAGTTCATATATTTTCATTGACAATTTACCCATCGCACCTTGTATACATACACAATGATGATTTAACATTTTAATTTAAATAAGCCTTTACTTTTTCCACCTAAGTTTTTAGTAAAGCAATTGAACTACCATGTCTAATAGCATATACTCCCCACACAAATTAATGGCTCAAAAACATCTCCAGTTGCTAAAATCAAAAACAAACATGTCTATAAAAAATTAAAAATATAAAATGGTGACAATTTATCCATCGTACCTTGTGTGTGTGTGTGTGTGTGTGTGTATATATATATATATATAAAAGCATGTTCATAAAGTAATTATATATTATCAGAAAATATATAACAACAAATACATGTTAAATTTATTTCAGTATTATTTTTCAAAAAAGTAATTATCTTCATTTTCAATGACTGCAGCCCAACAGGAAGGGAATTTTCAAATCAACATTTAAAAAAGAAAACTGGGTTCTTCCCCACTCACCCCAAATGTTTCAAAAACTGTTTTTAACATCATTGTTTCCGTATGTTCCACCACTGATGCAATGTTCTTGAGATAGAAACAAAGTAAATATGTAGATGCTAAATCTGCTGAGTACAGAGATTGTGGAACAACTCTTCGCATCTTAATGATCTTATTTTTCCTGGGGTTTGTTTTGCAGAGTGGCACCCTTGTATTATTATGCTGGAGAATAAGACCTAACTTTTTACCAAAACAGGACATATTTGTATTAATACTTCATTTCACTACAGATCAATTTGCTAGCAATAAATGTCTGCTGTGATTATTGTTTCCATTCCCGTAACCCGATGTCATCCTTCATATTTCACCAGACACAAATTCAGGAATTCTCTAAATGGTATCATGATTTTGATGTTGGCACTGGTTTCTCATTTTGTGATAACAACTAACTTTTTCATTTTGTGTTGGCATGTAAGACCCATTTTTCATCACGTATAACAATGTAATACAAGAACAAAAAGTTTGCATTCCTCATTAAAAATCTACTCTGCCGATGGTGGAACATTATGCCCTGTTATTACTGGACACAATATCCCACCATTGGCATTGAGTAGTCTAAAGAGAAGAGTCTTTGGGAAACCCAAATTCTCTCTTAGCAAATGTTTCCAATTAAACTCCGAAATGCCGTATAAGTGACCAAGTCAGAAAAAATGATAAATTAATTTTAAACACTGTTTCCAAGCATTTAACCTGGGTTCTGCCTTGGTTGGTTGACTCATAATTCATAATGCTGAAATATGTAATTACCTTCTGAACATCCTAATATATATTATATATACACTGAAATTCTTGGTTTCTCAAGGTTTCAAAGTTATTTTCTGCACAAATAGCAAATCTTTAGTTTCTTGAATGATAAACGGGATAATGATTTTCTGATGTTTCTTAAAAGAAATTAAGAAAAAAAAAAAACATCATTTTGACAAATCTGTAAATTTCCAAGGCCAGTGATTAGTCAACATTATTTTATATATATATATATATATATATATATATATATATATTATTATTTTTTTTTATTTTTACTTTTTAGGAAGTTTGGGAGTTATATGGTTTTTTGCATGGATGATGTTGACAGCAAGTTCACCAGCTGAACATCCACGGATATCAGAAGCAGAGAGGAATTACATTGAACAGTCTGTGGGGCCAAACAGAGTAAGACATCTCTAAAAGCTTTTTTATCTTTAACATTAATAAAAAAAGATGTGATTATTAGATGATTATATATTAAGGAATATTATTATCTTTACTAGTATTATATATATATATATATATATATATATATATATATATTTTTAAAAGTCTCTAGGGCCCTTTCAGCCAACATCTCATCAGGAGACAATCGTTGGATTAGCAAAAAGAATATTAACGATATTGAAGAGCAAAAAAAAAAAAAGAGGGGGAAACACACTAAAATAACAAACAAGTATATATACAAGTATATATACTTTCAATGATTGGTTCATCCCAACATTCTCTGGCTCAATGGCTTCTGCAGGTCATACAACCGGTCCAAACATTTTTTGCTAAGCATTGTATACCTGATTCGTTCACGTTTGTTGAACGCCTACAGGCCATACAGTCTTGCCCTGATACTGATTTTATGTGTTCTTTTGATGTGTCCAGTCTACTTACCAATGTACCATTGATGGAAACTATTGATATCTGTGCAGACTTTTTATACGAAGGTAACATTGCTCCACCTCCTTTTCCTAAGGATATATTTATAGAACTCCTGATACTATGTACTAGTTCGGTGGAGTTCAGTTTTGACAATATTATGTATAGTCAAGTGGATGGGGTCCAGATGGGCAGTCCCCTTGGCCCTGCATTAGCTGACATTTTGTGGGCTACCATGAGATGTTACTTTTCGGCAAAAGTGTCTAAACCGTTTGTTTACGTTAGATATGTCGATGACACTTTTGCAACTTTCTCTAATGAAAGTGAGGCTGTTGAGTTCTTTAATGAGCTCAACTCCTTACACAATGGTTTGTCTTTCACTATGGAAGGGAGAAGGACAACTGTCTGCCTTTTTGGACGTTTTTGTTGAACGCAGTAGAGGTGGTTTTATTACTAGCATCTATCGTAAACCCACCTTTACGGGACTTTATTTTGGCGTTCATTTGCTCCTGCATCAAGGAAAATTAATCTTGTTAAAACCTTGGTGTATAGAGCGCTTAAAGTGTGTTCTCCTATTAGATTGGACCGTGAATTTGGGGAACATTAGGGAGATTTTCCTTAGTAACGGCTATCCGGAGGCCCTTATTGACTATATTATTAGTAAGAAGACTAAGGAATTTCATTCCCCTAAAATCCAGGGGCCTTCTAAATGTCCGTTTATTTTGAAGATTCCCTGGATTGGGGATAGGGGTCAGGGCTTAATTAAGCAGGTTAGCAAGTCGGTTTCCGGTTGTTTCCCATCAGTTGCTTTTACGTAGCATTTTTCAAACTAGGTCTGCGTTTCCGTCTTTTCTTTTGAGTAGTTTAGTATATGAATTTAATTGCCAGTGTGCTGCTGGTTATGTGGGGCGTACAACCTTGCATTTGGAAACTAGAATTAATCAGCACGTACCTTCCAAAATACGACTTGGTAAGATAGATAGAATATATCTTCCCCCACGAATATGGAATCGGCTATTGCTCAACATTTAGTTGAGAATATAGCTTGTGCCAAGTTGTATAAAAAAGAGTGGTTTAAAATTATTCATACAGCCGATTCAATAATCATTTTGAAGATTTTGGAATCGGTCTGTATAGGATTAAGAAAAACCTTCTCTCTGCCGGCAGAAAGAATTTATAAGGTCTCTGAATCTGTTGGGGGATATTTTATTTTAACTGTCCTCGCTAATTTATTTACACGATCCTTCCCTCGTTACAAGTATATATACTTGTTTGTTATTTTAGTGTGTTTCCCCCCTTTTTTTTTTTTTTTTCTTCAATATCGTTAATATTCTTTTTAACTAATCCAACGATTGTCTCCTGATGAGATGTTGGCTGAAAGGGCCCTAGAGACTTTTAAAATTAAAATCAATGGTTTCCTTGTTTTTAAAACTATTTATAAATTTTGTACCTCCAAACATTTGTTTATATATATATATATATATATATATATATAGGAGAGAAGCCAGTAACCCTGAAGACATTACTACAATGTGCTTACGAAACTTCAAAGTTGTCATGACTACAATAGCACCAGTCAGTTAAGGATAAGTTTCTCACATTAATTCTGTGTGTGTCTATGTCTATGCCTTTGTCTCTCTCTCTCTATATATATATATATATATATATATATATATATATATATATATATATATATTATAATATTTTTGTTTAAAAATATGATTCCTTCACTACATAAGAGTTCTCATGTTTCAAAAACGAGAGCCGAAATCATCCAAATAATTATTAAAATTAAGTTGAATTGAGGTGTTTAGTCCCGTTTCATCTTCAAGCGAAATTTTAGAATGTGTGATTATTTAGGTAAGAAGAATTCTTTTAAACAAATTTTATTAAATTCATCTGAAATTATGTTTAATTATTTATTGTATTTTTCCAATTTTAGGCTTTGTTGTTGCTCATCCAGATAAAAATTGGAGATAAACTATACAGGATTTTTGTTTTTTCTCTTTTTGTTTGAGTATTTACAACAAAAAATCATTATCAAGAACTAAATGTTGTTAGTATCAATAGCCAAAAGTTTTGTTTTTTTTTTGTTACGTCCTCGATAATCACATTACAACCAACATCTGGCTATTAACGTAAGACAAATATGAGTAAATAAGACCAAAATATTTGAAGTAGAGTCCGTGGGGGGGAGTGCTCAATTTATGACAGAGTTCTTTTTCTATGATTTATCATAACATGATTTTCCATGTAAGTCAGAATGTACCTGTGATTCTCCATGAATAAGCACTTAGGTCACTCACCTATGAGAATGAAGTAGTAAAGTAATAATCTAGGATGTAATAAAATGTTTCTCTGACATATTAACATAATTAGAACTAAAAAAAACATGGAGGACATAAATATAATACATATAATAAAATGAAATTTATATTTTGGAATACAGTTTGATTTAAATTATCGGATATTAAATGTCTTAATGTCATGAAAAAGTTCTTTCATGATGATTGTTTGGTAATATGGATTTGGGTGAAGTTGCTACAACTTGTTAGTATGTGCATATTGTTGGTAATTTTACTATAAATATGTATTGTTGGTAATCTTTTTATATAAAAATATATTGCCGGTATTTTTATACTTTTTAGTGTTTTATTTGGGCAGAGGATTACTATTTACTTATAGCTGGTACCCTAACCATTGCTACCACCCTGGGTTAGGGTGGACCTAGGAACAACAGCAATTAATTAATTATAAATGTATTGTGGGTATGATAAAAAAGAAAAGACAATCCCCCAAGGAAAAAAGTTTATTCATTCAACGTCAATATCTATATAATAAATGTGAATGTCAGTGTGTCACACTTTTTTTAACTTTTCTCTTAAAGACCATAGCCCAACATATCATACCATTTTGGAATCAGGCCAATTCCATGAGCAAATTAAAAACATTCCATAGGGCTGCTCAATACTGATAGATATGGCACCAATGATGCTAGTTACAGAATTACAGTTTACAGAATTTTACCCTCAAGAATCTGGCTGAAAGTGGTAAGAGATTAATCTACACCATTTGATACAAAGAGTAATGGGAGCAGAGAAGCATGAAAGATTTTTGATCCACCATTGATGTAATAAAGGATACATGTCTGGCAAGAGGAGGAAGATCAAATAAAGACGGTTAAAAAAGTGAAAACAAATGTAACATTTGTTGCTCTGCTACATGTTGGCCTAAGAAGAATTCAGGAAGAAGTGTTTCTACCAAAATGATAATGAAACCAAAAGATAAACAGAACAAAAGAAAGATTCAGAGCATTGCAAGATCAGAATGTTGGTGTCTTACTCATTTATGGAATGGCAACTTTTATTAAGGCATACAAAAATTTCCATTGCATACAAAATGCCAGCTGATTATTTAAAAAGAAATAAAAATATTAGGATTTCATAAAAAGTTGTAGCCTCTGTCTGTCTGTTTGTTATCAAACTCCTCCTAGGGTTTTGGAGATAGACCCCCATAACCATATTCTGAAACTACATTACCCAGGGCATTTGGATAAGTATATTTCATTTTGATCAAAGGTGGTTCCCGAGACAAATTGAAATTTTTTTTTTTCCCTTTGATATAAATTAATTTTAAATTTAAACAAGGGAATGACTCCTAGGGTACTTGGATAAGTATATTTCATTTTGATCAAAGGGGGTTCGCAGTGTGGGGGTACCCCCGCTGAATGTTTTTCCCTTTGATATAAATTAAATTTAAATTTGAACAAGGGAATGACTCCTATCCAAAATATAGAGGGAGAAAGCCAGAAGATGGAGGTCACATCAGCAAGATCATTTGAATAATATTGAAATGCATCATTTTTCCCTACAATTTATCACAATGATTTAAAATCAAATATCATTTTCTTACAAAAAAAATGTGTGGCATGCAGCAAGGTGCAGGTAATTTGGCTAGTTCTTTTATAAATTCACAAAAGGAAGCTGGTTTTGAACTGGGTTAAATAAGAAAGATGTATAAAGTTCCAGTAACATTTGATGTACCATCAACTAATAGACTGAAAACTGTTCCTTAACATGCCCTACTGAAATAAGGGTTTGTCTAGTCAGCCCATGTCTCTTTTATGTCATCAAATACAGTATGTTGACTGTTTGCTTTAATATATTAGCCAGGATAACTTGTTTGTCTGCTCATCAAGTCATTTGCTCATTAAAAATGGCTTCTTTTATTAATGACAATGACATTTTTGAAACAAGAGTGAAACAGATTTATTTAAATTGAAAATTCTCTCAGTCTATATATATATATATATATATATATATATATATATATATATATAAGTTATATTAGATATGTAATCTTCTAGTGCATGCAGACCAAGAGAAAGGTCACTTTTGAAGTATCATAATTTGTAATCTTTTCAAAGTTGGTCATTGAGCTATATACTGGCTATAAAATGAGATGTGGAAAGTGTCAGAGCAAGGAGGAACATGCTGCTTAAAACTTACTGTGCCCACTTACTGTATCTCTAACAGGACATCACAAATATTTCCTACCAAAAAGGAAGTTCCACTTGAACAGCTTCTTTCCACAAACCACTACTTTGTGGAACCAACTCCTGAGATGATGCTTTCTCAACCACTAAATCTTAACCTCTTCAAGTCTAGGGTTAACTGTTATCTTTCCCACACTTTTCATAAACTTCACTTCTTACCACTCCTTCAACAACCTTCTTCAGTAACTATTTACCTTGCATGGCTCTTGGGCCTTGTAAAAAAACACATGACTGGAAAACATGTTTATCTTATCTGTCTATATTTCTGGGATGAGGTATTATGTACACTATTTACATTATTTGGACTATTGTCCTCATCTTTGTTGTCTCAAGGACAAATGCCACAGTGTATAAAGGCGTTGGCTAGATCCAGTTACAGGACCCAAAGAGTTGTGAGTTCAATACCTGCTTAAGACAGTGGAGAACTTGGTGAGGGGAATTAACAGGCGATAACTGATAACTGACATCCATTAGACAAGGCATGTGGAACTAGAGCAATCTACCCCAGCAAGTGCAATAAAGGATTCAGTTCGACATTCCAACCAACTGAAGAAGGCCGGAGCATGCTTCGGCTGAAACATTGTGATAAATATGGCAACAAAGATGAGGACAATAGTCTGAATAATGTAAATAATGTTTATCTTAGCGTGAGGATAGTAATAAAATAAGAAAACTGTATTAAGATATTAAAATAAACATTGTTTAAACAAGTTTACAAAAAAATAGTTTAATTTATAATGGAGGGTTCTCAGGGGGGGGTTAGAATGTTTGGCATTATTGCTAACCACTGCAATAGAGATTTTTTTTTTTTAAACTAAAATCTTGAAGTCTACTAACTATGTGAAAATTTATGCCAGAAATTATTATTTGCATTCTATTGAACTTTCAAATGCTTCAAAACTTGTTTCCTTTGCTAGAGACTGAAAACACCTTGGCGCAGTATCTTCACATCAATGCCAGTGTGGGCCATTTGCGTTGCACACTGTTGCTATAACTGGAGCTTTTACATGATGCTGACAAGTCTCCCTTTGTATATGAAGACTATCCTGCAGTTTGATATCTCACAGGTATTGACTTTCTTTCTGCTCATTTCTAATTTAGCATTTTCACTATTAAGCTCATCCATACCATAATGCTTCAGCCAATCTCCCCCCACCCCACCATCTGAAGGAGATGTGCAGGGAGGTTGTATCCATGATAGCCGCTTGGAACAAGAAATCAAACAGTTGCATTTAAATTGTAGTCAGGTTTGTTACGCAAATACTCTAGGAAAAAGTATTCCCCAACTATGGGTTAAATAGTAGTGCTTTTTCCAGATACAAATCCTATGTCCAAAAAATTGTTAATGCAATATTCTCGGTGAAAAAAAAAAAAGAATTATTCTTACAATACAAAATATATTTTAAGCTTTAAAAAGCCCACAAAGGGTTGATAAGCTATATAAAAAAACAAAAAATAAATCAAATCTTTTAGTCATAATACATGAAGTGTTTCAAACTTTAAACTAACGGCAATACAAATGCCTTAGTTGTTATTTCTAGAATTTCAATCTTTTGTTTTACAAACCAACCATGGTTGGGTCTCATAGTCAGAATGCTAACATTGTAACCGCTTGGCAGTTACGCTTGTGCATATTCATGTAAATTTTGAAAAAAAAATCATTTCACCCCTGGCAAGGTAATAAATTTGACACGAAAGCAAGAAGGCAGAAGAGTCCCATTTGTGGGAAGTGTGAGAGAAGAAACTATTAGAATAGAATTTAGTTGCAGCTAGCAATTTCAACAGCCAAATGATGAGACCTAACTGCCAATCTAGTACTACATACTCATTCATATATATATATATATATATATATATATATATATATATATATATATACAGGTAATAAATCTGTTGGTATATAATCCAAGTGGATCCTAGTAATTTAAAATATTAAAACTAATCCACAAAAAGAGCTCAATGTATTTATTATAACAGAGCATATAGATAATATTACACAACAAATTCCAAAATTACCTCATAGTAGGGGAAAGATCTATTTCAACTGACGAAAACTACATCAGTCTTATTCAACCCCGGTGTATAGACTGAGTTTGTGTCGGAATTAGAAATTTAGCATTGACAGCTGTCAAAAAATTTATACAGAATTTATCCATTTCAATGTTTCAGTCTGACAAAATGCCCAAGATGGTGGTTAGGGGACAGTGGAATGGTATTAGCCCTAAAAGGAAGAGTTTTATAAAATTAAACCTGGATATTAACCTTATGACATTAAATTGGGGTTATATGAAGAATGAAGTGTTAATTTGAAACTAAAAGAGAGCCAAAAAGGGAGTTTTATAAAAAAAAAAAAAATGATGATGAGTTAGAAGCCATTGTCAAAATTCAATATAAATAACATGAACAGAATTAATAAAGTTTTCAATGAAAAGAAAGGCCAAAAAACGATGAACCAGCAACGATCATGCAAGCAATACAGTTAAAGCAAGTCAAACAGGTAAGAACACAAAAGAATTCACCAACTATGAGTTGGTGTTTGCACACAAAAGCATGGTTGGTCAAGAGAATGCAGTAGGTCTTTCTAGTAGTTAGGACAGGTCTGGATTGTGTCGGGTCAAAACACAAACTGTCCCATTTTATTGGCTAAAAAAATATCCCAGCATGCATTTTTGTGTATTTCTGACTATAGGAGGGGGGGGGGGCAAAATTTTTGCAATCATTCCTCCTTCTGTGAAATATATATATATATATATATATATATATATATATATATATATATATAGTCCTTAAGAAATGTGTTCCTGAACTGGCTCCTGTTCTCTCTAAACTGTATAATAAATACCTTGCTACTTCTTGCTTTCTTGCTTGTTGAAAATCCTCCTCTGTTGTTCCAGTCTTTAAGAAAGGTGAACTGTCTGCCTCTTCCAACTATCGGCCTATTTAACCTATTACCTCTTTTTGGCTAACTGCTCAAGGCCCTCATCAGTGCTGAATTAGTTAAGCACCTCACATTACAGGGCATTCTTTCAGGCAAGCAACATGGCTTTCTTTTCCCTGGGTCAACTGCTGATGTATTAACAATTATTTTTCAAAAGAGTCTACCAAGATTTAGATAAGAATGGTGAAGCCTGGGTTGTTGCAAAAGCATTCGACCGGGTTTTGCATACCAGTTTTCTTTCCAAGTTGAAAAGTTATGGTATCTTTGGACAAATTTTTGAACTGATTCAGTCTTTCCTATCGAATTGTGAAATAAAGGTTATCCTGAATGTCCACTCTTCTAGATCATTCTGTACTAATGCAGGTGGCCCCCAGGGCTCTACCCTTGGTCCTACTCTGTTTTTAATTCTTATTAATGACCTTCCTGATGGTATCAGCTCTCAACTTGGTAGCTATGCTGATGACGCAACCACTGGCGGCTGATCTCAAAAATGATCTACAGTCTGTTCTTAACTGAGGCAAACAATGTCTTGTTAATTTTAATGCCTCCAAAACAAAACTTCTTTCTATTAATCTTCTGAGAGATCCCTTTCAGCCTCCTATCATCATGGCTGATGCTAACCTCCAAGGGAGTGACTCAGTGCACCTTCTCGGCTGTCATGAAGTGGAAAGACTATACTGAATCCATTGCTAGGTCAGCTGCTAAAAATGTGGCTTCACTGTGTTGTGTTAGAGAATTTTTCTCTCCAGAATTTATCTTACATCTCTATAAGTCTACCATTCATCTATGCTTAGAATATTATTGCTACATATTGTCTGGTGCTCCTTCTATATATTTACAGATTCTTGATAAAATCCAAAGAAGAATCAGCAATATTATTGGTCCTGACCTGCCATCTCGGCTTCAGTCATTTTTCCACTGTCATAAAGTTGCTTTCTTGTGCCTTTTCTATAAATATTTTCATGGTAATTGTTCTAAGCTTTGCTCTATGGTGTTATGTTGGCTTTCTGCCTTCCTTTCTATGTGTTATCTTCTCCTCCTTTTATAGAGATTGTTCCAGAAAGGGAGATAAGTACCACATTACACCCCTCCCTCTTACTTTACTGAGACTGTTACTAGATATCCAATCTTAGAGGTGGTCTTCTCTCTCAAAGCGGAATATCTGCGTACAGGTGCAGGCACCACTTTCTCTTCACCTATCACTGGTTCCAAATCCATGTCAATGTATCTTTTTCACAATTTCTTAAAATTCAAACAATTCTTTGTAATCTTACCCTGAGTGGTTGATGTTGCAGTTATCATCATCCCTTTTTTGCCGTGATGACATATGGTGTTGGATAGAAATGGGGTGTACTTTTATTTCACTTTGGTTGTTTAACCAATACCATGTCTCCAATTGATGTTTTTATGTTACTAGTATTTCTGTTTTTTTTTGTCGTAATAATACTTCATGTTCTATTTCGCCTTAGCATCTGTTTGCCTTATTTCTTCATCATATTTCTGTTGAATTTTGGGAAGCTTCCCTATAAACTGTCGGCCCTGAAACATAAGCAGTCTGTATCAGTTTATGCAAAGTTTGATTGAAGTTTTCAGGCTGCAAATTGGATTGTGGCCAGACATGTAACAGGTTGATGATGAAAACTGAGGACTTTTGCCTTAATTGTCTCACCCTTTCAAGGAGGTTCATTATCTGTTTCTAAATTTTTAAGAATACCAAAGGCTGAGAATACTTTATCCAGTGTTGGTATAACAACTTTAGCTTTTATTGAAGCAACAATTTCCACCTCTAGATATCTACTGTATTCATCAGAAATTACAAGCAAATATTGACCACTGGTGTCTATTTCAAATATGAGTATCCATCAGTGGTGAAGAGTGACTTGGGAACCAGGGCATGTAGGTGATTATGCAGGATAATCGCCAAGCTGGAGAGGGAAAAGGAGAACCTGTTTGCTACTTTAATGGCTGCATAAAAAAATAAAACTATGTCCCCAAAAAGGTTGTTTTTCATTGCTTTTTAAGAAAAAAAGTAAGTAATTTTGGTTTTATCTAGTTCACAATCCATCAAATTAACATTTCTGTTTTAATGAGACATAGAAATTTTTTATTTTAATTTAAAAAAAATGTTTAAATAAATTTCTTATTGCTTGATAACAGGTTTCAGAAAATAGCACTGATTGATAATTGGAAATGTGAAAATTTGTAATTTTGGCGTAAACTAAATTAATATTGTTTCAATAGAAATTGTTTTAAATACCCGAATCTTCTTTTAAGATAAAGTTCAGCCTTTCTTTTTTTAAAATAACACCAACATTAATACATGAATTTAAATACTTTTAATTTAATTCTAAAATTAAGTAGTGCATTGAATTTTTTAAAAACATCCTTTAATAAAATTTAACATGTTTAATGAAATAATCTACAATATTACCAAGAAAGTTTTTTACATAACTTTAAATAATTTTGAACATTTAAAATTAAATCTAAAGGCATTGAAACAGATGAAAACTTACCTTTCAATCATGAAAAAAAAAGACTTTGTTGATTGATTCTTATTACTCCATGTATGAACTGAACAAAAACATTCTGGGTAATTGTCACATGACTGAATCTGGGTCTTAAGAAGGGTCAAGAATACTCTCCATGGGTTAAAACTTTTTAAAAGTCAGTAAAAAAAAAAATTTGATGTGACGCTAAAGTCATCAGACGTTCCCTGTATACTCCTCAGAACTAATAATACAAATTTTTCATTTAAATTTGTTCGACTACAAATCCTTCAAATAGGCAAGTCTTTGATTTCAGCCATATGCAATAAAAACATCATCACTTCAGTAGAGAGTTTCTGCTGGCTTAATATGGCTGGAAAGCAAGCAAAAGAATTTCTGCTTTTCGGTGGCTTTCTCTTTGTGACCCCACCCAACACTTTATTATTCTGTCTCTGTTTTTCATGCACCGAGTTTGAAGGAAATAATAAAACAGGGAAGGCTAAAGCCATGAAATAATTTCTGCTTTTCAGTGACTCTCTTTCACCCACTCACTATTATGTTCTGTCTCTCACGCTCCTTACTAAAAAGGTGAGTAAATTCATTGCTCTTGCATCTTTTCTCGTTAAACAACAAGCATTTTCTCTACTTATGCTCCCTAAATGCTTGTAACAATTATCCTAAGAAATAAAAAAAATGGGAAATACAAAAAAATACAAGTACATAAAGGATAGTGAAAATTATCAATAATTAATTTTATATTACACAAAATTATTTATCCTGGAAAAAATGTAAAGCATGTGTTGTATACATGGGCCCTTCATCCCTAGTATCCACTATAATAATGTTTGAAGTAATAAAAGAAAATATATATAAAAGTGTTATTAGTGGAACACACCTATTCTATTGTTAATAGACTCTCCCACCTATAATAAGTAGAAGCAGTAGCAGTCGCTGAGTGAGTTGGTCAGTCAGTCGATGCCGGACGACCGTTAGTCGGATATTAAAGTATCAGCCACCACAACTAGATTACTGCATCATTACCTATTATATCAAGTTCCTAACATTTTATACGTCGAACCTATTTTAGGACCGACTTAGTACAAATGCAAGATTCCACTGTGAGACGACTCTACAACAAAAAGGCAAATGATATTAAAAACAAAAGATTGACTTTTCCAAATTATGAATAATCCTTCTCAGATAAAGAGGAAATTCCATCAGAAATTGTCCAAAGAAAGCTTTGGACTTAAGTCATCATCAGTGTACATAGAGACAAATGGTGAGTTTCAAAGAACTAGTGAGTGAGTGGTAGTGATTTTGAGAAAGAATTCCATGATGTAGGCAAGGTGTGATATGTGTGTCTGTGTGCATATTTATTTTACTTTTTTTATATAGATTTATAAAATGCCATCCTCAAATGTATATAAAAAAAATAAAAAATAAAGAAAATAAATAGGTTCACATGTCAAACCTTGCGTATGTCACAACACTCTTTGCCTATGTCACTACACTCACCATTTGTCTCTCCATACCCTGGTGATGACTTAAGAAAATCGAAAACTTGGACCATATTTCTCCCAAAATGAACTTTGGACAATTTTTGATGGAATTTACTCCATATCTGACAAGGAGTATTCATAATTTGGAAAAGTCAATCAATAAAATTAATTGCCACAAAATGCCTGTTGTCTTTAATAATGTTTGCCTTAAAGAACATTCGCTGCCTAAATACACAATATATATATATATATATATATATATATATATATATATATATATATATATATATATATAAATGAAATGGACAAAGTCTGACAATTATTTTTTAAGACGTTTTTTTTTTTAATGTTTATGCATTCTTTTTATAGATACAGATATTTAAGTAAATGCTCTGTTTTATAATAAACAGTATTAATAACATTTACCAGCCTGAATGTCCGAGAAATTTTCATAGAAAATATTTGTCCTCCAACAGGAATCGAACCTCTATCCTATACGGAACCATCATTTAGCCTGACGTGCCTTAACCGATCGAGCCATGGAGGATCGTTCGATTAGCAAATATTTGTCCTCCGACAGGAATCGAACCTGTATTATTTATTATAAAACAGAGCATTTACATTAATATTTGTATCTATAAAGAGAATGTATAAACATAAAAATGTCTTAAAATATATATAAATATATATATATATATATATGATCAAATATGGATTGCAATGAATGATAAGATAAAGAACAAATAGGTAATGTTTCCTATTTGTTCTTTATCTTATTCTTTTGAGTTGATATATGGAGTAACCTACAAGTTGCCGAGAAGGGTATTGGGAAGTGTATTGTTTCATATTCCCAAGTATCTAGGTGCCACCTTGATTGCCCCATCCTTTAAACTAAAAAAAAAAAAAACCCTTCCATACACTGGCTATGATACTCTCCTACTACTGTTGCTCATTAACAGAAGGGAACAGTGTATCAACCCATAGAGGATATGCCTGTCTAGTTATGGTCCAGCAATTGACAAGCAAATTTGTCTTACTCAATGGGATTTTTACTGTAGCTAATCTTAATTCACCAAAACAAAAGTCATATATGTTAAAAGCTTCAATCAGTTATAATCTGAAGCCATTAAATCCTTGCCTGATGTATCATCAAGGCATTTTATTATTATTATTATTATTATTATATTAGTGTCACACATTGACATAGTCAATAGAAATTCTGTTTTTGGGATATGGCGTCAACAAGATTCCTCACAACTATTTGGGGAATTCTCACTGAATAAATGACAGCAGTTTTCTGAACGTCTACAATTTTGGTTTCATTTCCAATTTTCTCTAAGCATTCTTTCAGGTTTCTAGGTGATGTTTCATTCACCCATTGCTACAAGAATTACTTTACCAATCATGTTCCATAACTTCTTCAACTCCCTAGCCAGATTTTGCTATTTTTCAAATTCTTATTATTCTATAAATTCAGGATTGGGTTTCCGGTTACTTCTAAAGTTTCCTCATTCTCTTTCACTCTCAGTAGCCCCTTGCATCTTAGTGGCATTATCACCTTTTGGGGTGAACTGATTAAAAAATAATGAATAAATGAAAATAAATAAGATTCCAGGATGTATATTTTTTATTGTTTTTTAATTTGTTTCAGAACAGTCAGCTCTCAGCAATTCCTTACGTGTTTCTTTGGCTTTTGATGTCAATCTCAGGTATCCTTGCTGATTTCCTCCGTTCAAATGGCTATCTCACTACAACAGTCACACGGAAAATCATGAATACCTCAGGTAAGCATCTTTATTTCTATCTTTCCATCTCTATTTATGCCATAGCATATGCGTTTGTCGATCAAAATACAAATGAATGTCACAAAAATACAAAAGAGTATTTTAGAAGAATTCTGAGACTTACCAAGATTCATTATTGGATGCCATAGTCTTAACAACATAAGATATGCAGATGATGCAGTGTTGATAGCAATCACAGCAGGCACAGAGAGGAAACTACAAAAGGAAAGTGAGAAGAAGGGACTATACACCAATTGTAAGAAAATAGAATGTAGTGTTATCAGCAAAAAGAACGCCTGAAAATGCAAAATATAGAATGTATTGTTATCAGCAAAAAGAATGCCTGAAAATGCAAAATATAGAATGTACTGTTATCAGCAAAAAGAACGCCTGAAAATGCAAAATATAGAATGTACTGTTATCAGCAAAAAGAACGCCTGAAAATGCAAAATATAGAATGTTTATCAAAAAAAAGAATACAAAGTATCATAAGACAGAAAAACAAAAGAACTGAAAATGCAAAATATAGTAATATTTGGTCATCCTAAATGGCAAAATGCAAAACTGGAAAGGTTAATCTCCTAAGACAGATGTAGAATTGTTAGACTTGAGAACAACAATCTCCCTCGCAGAAATTTGGTTCTACAGAAGGATCTTGAGAATGTCAAGACTAAACATGTGAGCAAAAAATAAGTTTTAGGGCTAAATGGAAACAAAAAAGATATACTCATAAAGTGACAGTTGAAATTTCAAAGAAACATAATGAGGAAAGAGGGCTTGAAGAATTTGATACTCACAAGGTATATTGAAAATCTTGCTAGGAACAAAGAAAAGAGTGCTTAACAGTTATGTAATATCAGTTCTCATGTATGGCAATGAATGCTGGACAATCTCCTCACAAATGTTGAAGAGACTTCAGACAACAGAAATTTGGTTCTACAGAAGGATGCTGAGAATATCATGGACCAAACGTGATCAGCGAGGAAATTTTTAAGGAAAATAGACAGAAAAGACACTTATACTTAGAATCAGAAAGAGACAGTTGAAATTTATAGGATACATGAGGAAAGAGGGCTTGGAGAATTTGACACTCACAGGACATATTGAAGGCAAGGGGGACAGAGGCAAACAGTGCATAACCTTCCTAATGTGTTTATGCAAATGAGTGGCAAAACAGGGATTGGGAGAGATAGCAAAAAGACAAACCTTACTAAGAGCTACAAAGGACAGGAAGTTGGGGAGAGTCATGATCACTGACATTCAGAAGGAACATGGCACATAAAGGATGAAGTCTCTACTTTATATAATCTTTTTCCTCTAAAATGTACTACTTCCTCCTCCAAAGTGTGATCTAGGTTCAAACCTTACTGGAGAGCACATTTTCTTAAGTTTTCTTGTGGATACAGGGCTGGTTTGACATAATACACAGTTTAAAAAAAAAGTGGAGCATTTACTCAAAAACAAGTATCCAATAAAAATTGTTTGAAGTAATAAAAATGTCAAATTGAAAGTAAATCCAATAATAAATATATATATATATATATATATATATATATACACGCATATAAAATTGTATATTTAGGTACAATCGTGTGTGTATATATGTCTGTGTGCATGCGTGTGAGTGCATATATATATATATATATATATAAAAAACACTGTGTACTAAGGCAGCAATTGTGTGTGTATATGTATGCATGTGTATATACTCTACAGTTCAAAAGTTTGAAGCCACCCCCAGAATTAGCATGGGATGAATTTGGTAGAAGAGTTGGAAAAAAAAAAATGAAAAAGAGCTCTTAGAGTAACTGAAAAAAAGAATGGAATCAGTTATCAAACTTTACTTTAAGAAACTTTCGCAATGAATGCCAAAAATTTGTGCTGCAGTAATCAAGGCTAAAGGAGGATATTTTGATGAGAGCAAAATTTAGTCATAAAATGCTTTTCTTTTTGTCATAATAAAATTTCTAATAAAAAATAATTTTTTTTAACCATTTATAATAATTTTCTCTTATTTAAATACAAAACAACTACTTTTTGGGATGGCCTCAAAGTTTTGAAATATAGTGTGTGTGTATATATATATATATATATATCAAATGTATGACAAAATGGAAAAAGTTTTTGTGTAATGTGTTTTCATCCTTTAGGACTTCATCAGAATAAATTTTTTTTAAAATCTTGCTGATTTCATTTAGATTCTTTTCTTTTTCTTTTAATCACTTTTGTTATTAAATATCCCATACTGTGATAATAGAAATTCTGCCAGGAATGGTAAACTCTTGTAAGAGCCAGGTTGCCCAAATTATTATATATATATATATATATATATATTTAACATTTAAGAATATAATAGTTCAATCATGAAACATCTTCATGTAGTGCTCAATATTAAAAAATATTAAAAATAGTGTATTGATAATATGTTCAAGTTACTTAACTGTAAATATCAGTTTTTGATCTTGCTTCTCCAACTTCAAAGTTTCTTGGAATTATCCATTCTTCAAAAGGTCTGTTGTTTGAATTCCCTTGAAGAATGGATAATTCCAAGAAACTTCAAAGTGGGGGAAACAACATTAAAAATTGATATTTACAGTTAAAATATATATATATATATATATATATATATATATATATATATATATATATATATACTTACATGTATGTAAGTGCTATATGCTGTGTGCAGCCTCACTCCAAGTAATCCAACCAATATGTTAATTCTTCAGCAATAAGCAGTGTATAGCAAAACAGAATGTTCATTTGTGCTTTAGGCTGGCAAATTTCCATTCAGACTATAATAGTTGATATAATAAAAACATTCTGAGTAGTTTTCATTCACTATTTTTCAAAGACTATGTTTTTGTTTCAACTATTAGGTTAAAAAATTTCTGCTTAAATTATTAAGAATAATTTTTAAAAGTACATATGGTTTTAATATCCTATTGTTTTGTTTCATTACAACATTATGTTTTAAAATCTTGTCAAAATAAATGGCACTTCATAATGTTATATGAACAAAATTTAGTGTTTTTAATAATAATAAATCGTTTTTAATAATTTAGGTTCATTAATTAAATTTTGGTTTCCTCTTGTGACACAAGATAGTGCTACAGATCCCCAACTGTGTCAGCTTGTTGTAAAATAAGGCAAGTGTGTGTTGAGGTTGGGAGGAAACACTTAACCGATTGTTCTCTTAAAGAATTAAGGGGTAAGAAGAAGAGAAAAGGAAGAAATAAAACAAAACTGAGCAATGTCTAGTGAGGCCATTGCCTCAGAAACCACAGCATGCAACTTCTGGGAAAAAATGCACCGAGGGAAATTCTTTACAAGACACCAGGTCTTGCCAGTTGCCCACTGCTAGATTTCCTATTGCTTTTATTGACATCACACAGATGACAAAGACCCAGATTGGAACAAGTTGCAGAGAGGCTTGTACCACCCCCAAACCCTGAAATTCCCCCAAGAGGATTCCTCCCTGGTTGAGAATCTCTGGTATAGAGTATTAAATGCTACTTTACTTCATCTTTCTAAGCATATTTTTTTAAATTTCATATAAATGTATTTGCAAGCGAAATATTTGCATGGTCGTTTATAACAATTTCTACAAGTATGTCATTAACGGCAAACGTGTTCAGAAAATATCAAACTTTCATTACAGATAGAAGCTGCAAAGAGGAACAATCGTTTTGTTTATTTCATTATGAGAATTTACAAAGAGGAATGATCAATTAGCTTATCTTCATACTCTGTCTGGTGGCAAACACTGCTAGTGGCACCAGGGGTGATGGTCCCGCCATAGCCACTGAAAGCATGATATCATCCCTGGTCGGTGGCTGATGAGAACAAGGTATCGCACGTGCTAAGACATGTTGTATGTTGAAAATTGCTGAATATTTGTTCATATGTAATATGGCAAGAGATGACACCTATATTTTTTATATTTTTTAGGTCAATATTAAGTGTAGGTAAATATTGCAAGAAACTGTTTTTTTGTGCTGTATATTGAATTCACTGTGAAGTTTTTCCTGACTGGTCAGTCTAAAGCACATGTTGCCTCAATATAAAGAATGCACAGGTTTGATTCCTGCCAAAAGGCACATTTTCTTTATTAAAACTTTCAGTTGTCCAAACTGGTAGATATTTTTTAATTGTTTTACTCCAAGCAAAGCAATAAAGTGAAAGAAATAAAATGTTATTGAGTGGAAAGAACAATAAAAGAACAGGATTAAAAAAGACAGAAGATGACGATTTACACTGCATTTAAATTTTTGAAGACCATGACTGACAGGAAAGCAGGAAGCCATGAAAATATTTATATAAGAAGCAAATGGCAGTGTGAACGTTGCTGAAACTGAGGTGCCAGGTCAAAACTGATAACATTGCAAATTCTTCTTTGAATTTTGTCAAGAATCTCTAGATACATAGCAGAAGCACCATATCAGATGTGGCAACAATATTCAATGCATAGATGAATGGCAGATTTATAAAACTGAAAGAGAGATTCTGGCAAGAAAAATTGTCTAGCATGACATAGTGAAGTCATTTCTTGCCACAGTTAACAACAGATTGGAGGTTATATTCGAGATCTGCTACCAATTTGACTTTGTCAAACCTATTAGATGTACCATTGTGACAGGAGTAAATAGTTGTGTCCTTACTATAGATACAAAATCAAGAACTGATGATATTAGGAAGGTTGTTGATAAAGATTAGGAGCAAAGTAGTTACAAGAACACCCACATTTATATAGAAAGATCTAGAAGAGTGGTCATTCAAGATTCTCTTCATTTCATAACTTGATAAAAATGAGTGTATCTGTATTTGGTCAGAAATACCATAGTTCTTCAACTTGTGAAGCCAACCAGAATGCCAAACCCTGTAAAACACCTTTGAGATATCTAAAGTAACAGTTCTGTTAATGGTTAAAAAATTGTTTTCAAGTATATTGCAAAGCTCTTTTAAAAGTAGAACACTCTTATGAAAACAGATTTGTAAAT